TGTGTCGTCGTTTTTTCGTCGGGTCGGATTCAGCACGGCGCGGACAAGGGGCATGGGACCTCCATATTCCGTCTCGTTTCGCATTGTCATTCGAGACAACCCGAAGGGATGCAGAGCGGACCGCCTGTGGAGGTGGATTGCGTTCTTCGTCCTACTTGCCATTAGCTTCACCAGACGTACAGCGGCGTTTACGTATATAGTTCGTTTCTACCAGCCTGTTACCATGTACATGTATGTATTTGCTACCGGTTCGTTTGTTGGCTGACGCCACCTCGAGTCTTTTGGTTGATGTTGGTTTCTCGAGGGTTGTGCAACGCTGCGAGCATCTTGGGAAGGAATTCTTCAAGAGGAGCTTTGCAAGGCCGCGGCTGACCTTCGGCAGGCGCAAAGTTTAAAGTGGAAGTGGGATCCGCAAGCATCAGCAAGCACTCCAAGACTCCAAGAGCCCATCATTCGAGGCCGATGCTGAGTCCACTGGACCTCCTGGACCCGTTCCCGCCGCGACCATCGGCAAGGACGCCTGCCTAGGCGGTAGCAGTCGCAGGTCGCAGCGGTTTCTGGAGGAGGTGGCTGAGGCCGAGGCCGATGAGACGAGGAGGTGAGGGGAAAGAGGGGCAGGGGCACAGGGGCACAAGGGCAGAGGGGTGCAGGGGCTCCGCTTCCGAGGCCTTGGCAGCTACAGGCCAGGCTTGGAGAGCTGGAGGCCGCTGAGCGCGGCGCAACAGCCAACAGCGCCTTCCTTTCTTTTTCTCCCATCTGCGCCTGGCACAAGCCAGCTAGGCCGAAAATGCTGCTCTGAAGCGGTCCTTGAACCAACGACCGATCGTGTCCCCTGAAGGGCTCTTTAGGACACTTGTCCGGATCCCGTCCGTCACCTGGGCAGGTACCAGTTTGCACCTCCAGATGCAGGCATCGATTCTCCTGACGAGCAGGCATCTCCAGAATCAGCCAGCCGCGACAACCAGAAAGTCTTTGCTCGCATTCCCGTGGGCAGGGAGAGGGCGATACACTTCCGGAAGCCGAGGCGGAATCGAGACACTGAAGCATAGCCAGCTTCTTATCTGCAGTGTGCACTGAGGTGGTCAGCACTTCGCAGTCCTTTTCAGCTCATGGCCAGCACTTCGCACAAAGTCTTGCCAGGACCAGATTTTTGAAACTCTGGCAAACTCATCCGAAGTGAGAGAGCGCAGGCGCTGCTTGTGGTTCTGGCAGCATTGCCGCAAACGGCGGCCTCGCCTACCTGATTAGGGTCTTTCCGATGATCTTGAAAGCTCTTCCTGATGCATGAGAGGTGGATGTGGGGCCTGGAGCAGCAGCTTCGATGGCGACTAGACCTCAACCTTCGCATGATAGTAGTCGGAACCGGAATCGTCAAATGAGAGGCCGTGTTTAAGATAGATGATGAAGTAGCATTGCCACATGAGGGGGCCTGTTTAAGGAGGCGGCGCCTGTACGGGGCCGTGCGGTGGAGCACATTTTGTACTGGGCTGGGGTGGGGGTGGGGTGGGGGGGGTGGGGGGGTGGGGTCGGGGGGTTGGGTGGGGGGGGTGGGGTGGGGGGGTGGGGGGGTGGGGGGTTGGGGTGGGGTGTAATGACGTTCTTGTGCGACAACAACAACGACAACAACAAGGTAACAACAAGGACAACAAAGTGCTACTAGTACTACTGCTGTGTTGTGCTCAGGCCCCGAAAGCAGACATCCAAGTCTCTTGCGCTTGTTGTGCTCAGGCCCCGAAAGCAGACATCCATGTCTCTTGCGCTTGTTGTGCTCATGCCGAAAGCAGGAATCCAAGTAGGCAGTAGGGTCCAAAATCTCTTACGCTTGGAGTGCTCAGTTTTGTTAGAGTTTCAAGTTAAGTTTTAGGGTTCAGGGTTTTAGGGTTTTAGTGATAGTTTTTTTCGGTTTGGTCGTGCTTCGGCTTCTTTTTTAAATTACTTTAGCTTTCGTTGCTTTCCTTCAGCATGGTGATGCGATGACTGTTATCCTTCTTCTTTGGGCCTCCCATTCACACAAGGTTAGGGTTTCAAGACTTAGGACTTCTGTGACTATCCCTGAAGCCTACACAATGCCCTAAAGATCGTTGTCCAATAAAGTTCTGAAGAAATAACTCCAAGACTGAAATCCCCAGCCATGAAAACCCACAGCAGGCCTCCCAAAACTAAAGATGCTTACAGCGAAAAACGCGCCCCCGCTGTGGAGAGAGCGCGATGTTGAAACCAAAAGTCTTCGCGGCGATCCCTGACAAATAGCAGTAGCTGCAAAAAAAGAATTTGAAAACCCAAGATGCTCACAGTCCAAAACGCGCCCGCGCTGTGGCGAGAGCACGATTTTGCAGCAAAAAAAATACCGAAACTCTAAATTTTTAAGACCCTGCGAGAAAAAAGCCTTGAAAATGCACACAAACGCATGGGAAAATGGCATTTTCGCAAAAAGTTCCTCTCAGCTTCTAGTGTTTTCGGCACCTGCGAAAGCTCTTGATCACAACAAAACGCGCGTTTCGCTCGAGTTTTGGCCTCGCCGCCGTCTGCCGCCAACAAAAAAATGTCTCCCAGCGCACGGCCCCGTACAGGCGCCGGCACCATGTTTAAGATGTATGATGAAACGGAATCGCCAAGATGGATGTTGAACCGGAATCGCCAAATGAGGGTCCGTGTTTAAGGTGGGTGATGAAGAACCATCGCCAATTGAGATGTTGAGCCGGAATCGCCAAATGATGGGCTTGTTTAAGAATATGGTGAACCGGAATCGCCCAACGAGAAGGCGTGTTGAAGATATATGATTAAGAGGAATCGCCAAATGAGGAGGTGTTTCAGATAGATGTTGAGCCGACATCGCCAAATGAGGGGCCGTGTGTAAGATAGATGATGAAGTAGCATCGCCAAATGAGGGGGCGTGTTTAGGATAGATGTTGAATCGGCATTGCCAAAAGAGGGGGCGCATATATGATGAACCGGAATCGCCAAAGGAGGGGGGGGCAGGGGGGGTGTTATCGCCAAGAGAGGGGGCGCGTTTAAAATGGATGATCAAGTTTTTCAACGCCAAATGAGAGGGCGTGTTAAAGACATGCAGAGAACCGGCATCGCCAAATGAGGGGGCGTGTTTAAGATAGCCTGTTGAATCACCGGGAGAGAGAGAGAGAGAGAGAGACAAAGCAATCTAGTGCAGACAGCTTGGGGCCGATCCCTATACCTCAACAAAACACATTCAGCAACAAACAGAACCTTGAATCTCTTGTGAATCTCCTTCGACAAGACTCAGAATGAGGGACTGGAGCGCACAACTCTTAAAGGGGAGTCTTTGTTGCTTCTAGCTCTGACACGCGGAGGCGAGACTGAAAGTCAAGCAAGATCGCATTGATGATCGCATGTCCAGATCCTGTTAGCATTGAGGCTCACAAGGCGTATTCTAGAACGGCCCTTCCTGATGCGCAGCCCTTAGTCGGCAGACATGTGACATGTTGGCTGTGGAGACTTTAAGGTTCGAGTCGGTTATAGTAAATTCTGGTCCTGATCATTGGACTTGGCTTGGAGATTGTGCCACTTATCTATCTTGAGTTCGGAGGCGTGTCTAAATGCACAAATACCAGATTCAAACAAGTAGATTACAGAGATTACGTAATTCCCGTAACCAAGTTACAACATCGAACAAGCGAAACAAATAGATTCACCCCCTTCCAAAGCCCAAGGAATCCTCTATTGAAAGGATAATAGTCCAAAGTTGTGGCATTTATTCCCTTATCTCTTCCTGTCGCAAAGCCAAAGTCTCGGTCCCATGTCAGAGCTTGATTTATGTGCTAAATGCTGCCTTTCTTACCAACTCACCAAATCAGTATCGTCACCGGTATTCGGCTACTAAACCTTTGCAGTGAGCACGTATGTCAAATGCCTGCACTCTTTCAGAGCCGGAAAAAAATGTCAATACTAGTGAATGCTCCGTAAACACATGAAGGATGCTGTTTGCCTGAGACGTTCTCATACTTCAGCGGATATGGAGCAATGAAACGAGGATCGAACCATTGATGTTGCATTGTTTGCCGTTCAGTATTTACACCATATGTCCCTTCCGTTTCCACATTTTGGACTTCTGTATAAAGTGGGTATTCGTGTGTTTGAATTGTAGTGGATGTGTGGGACAGTGCGCACAAAAAGGAGCCGATAACACGTCCCGAAGAATGGGAAGAGATACGACCCAATCTTGTAGACTTGTGAGCTCCAGAGAAGTGGACCCCAAGTTCTTGTAGTGGGTTTATGGCTTCGGGCTCAGTGGGATCCAACTTAAGGCAAGCATCCCATTCCCATGGCAATGGCACCCCTTCAACCCTAAACCCTAGACCCCTATCCCCGAAACCCCTAAACTCCTAAACCCTAAACCCAGTTTAACCCACCCCCACCTTGAGGGACAGCCAGCATGGGATGCTCTCGCCCGGGCGAGTTACGGCAAAATCCTGGGTACCTTCAACCGTTCACGCCCATGCTTGGAGTCAACGTCACCTTAAAGACCACAAGGGATTAGGGTGCTTCCTTCCTAGTCTAGGGCTTGCAAGAGCTGGCAGCTAATGGTAGTCTTCGAGGCCCGAGCAGAATGGAGAGCGATGGGTTTCGTAATGGCTCAATCTACGGCACGGCAAAATGCAGTGCGGTCCTTTATGCCTGATCCCGGGGCACTTGCTCCAAGAAGCTTGTCACGCATCAGCGTTCACTTCTGAAAGATGCTTGAGTGGCAACAAGTGTCTATTGCACTTGCATCCCACCCGATTCCCACGAGTAACAATTCTGATTAATTCTGATCATCATACATCACACACTCATTCACCTTTAGATGACAAAGGCAGCTCGCCATCCACACGTCGTCGTCTGGCAGATCGCATCTCAGGATCCTCCACAATCTTCCAGCAATGGCCCATGTTGTAAAACAACTCTAGCTCTTTGCAGTTGCCTCGCTTGGTGGGTGCATTCGCCAGCTGCGCCTCTGAGTGCACCCATCTCATAATCAAGCCTGTCTACTCCTGGCTCTCTTTGAGGGCAATCATCTCCATGTTCGTCCTCTTCTCTGCTCCTTTTATAGTTAACACAGCTGTCACCAGTTTGTCGTACACGTTGCGGCTGTCTGTTATCAAGCATCCCAGGACTTTTCCCACAGGATTTCGTACATCGCCTGCTCCGTGGAGTAGCTCATGCCATTGGTACCTGGCGTAAAACAAGGAGTCCTCGCTGTTGATGGCCGCATGGGCCTCAGCGGCTCCGGGAGAGCGGCATGCTCTCTCAATCCTGTTTGAGTGCCACGCCACTGGTGAGATCGGGCACAGCTCGCCCTGTAGAAGCGAAGTTGGCGCCACCCCTATGAAGATACCCTGAGTACTGTATCCATCAACCCTGTTCTGATTTCCGGCATCAACCCAACCATACAATCCAAGGTCCTCGCCACTTCTGTAAGCATGGATTTTCATAACATGGTCCTTGCCAGCGCGTGCCCTGCGGAGGCACGCGTTTGCCTTAGCAATAGTCTCTCCGTCACTCTGGGAGACTTCGGACAGCAACAAGCTCACTTCGGCGTGCGGCGCCACTTGCTGTGCGTGCCATGATATGGCACCCAGCAGGCCCTCAGTTGGCTTCTTTCTCGCTCGGTGGTGGCCTGAGTAGGCTGCTTCCGCCGGGAAGCGTTCACTGGTATCTCTTTGACTGAGTCAATGTACCTTGGTTGTGAAAGCTCAAAGCCGCTGGCCGTCCTTTTGATGTTCACACCGCATTGAACAAAGTCATCGTAATCCCAGTCACCCCACTGAAATCGTTCCTTGATGGCTTTGATGGTTTGTTGCCACTTGGGGTGTTGCTCATCTCCAGTGAACAAGAAATCGTCCACATGACCGGTTATGATCCCTATCACAGTGTCCTGTTCGCGAAGCACCCATTCAACAGCAAGCGTCTGACCAAGTTCGCTCAAGCTGTAGACTACCCAAAAACTCATCGATTGTTTTGTACCACTCCAATGGTGCGTCTACCAAGCCGTAGCAAGCTCGCCGGAGTCTAGTTATCGACTCAAGTGGAATGCCTAGTGCCTCGCAAATCTGTCAGGGTAATCTCTTCCCTCTAAAAAGGCACCTGAAACGCCGCCCTTGGCGACCCGCCAATTCCGATTGGCAGCTATCTGCAATACGAGTTGTCTGGTCTGTCGTGACATGACCGGCGCCGTAGTGGCGCGGTTTTCGTATGCCGGGTCTTGATATCCCAGCAGCACAGCTCGTGCCTTCGGCTTGACAGAGCCGTCTTCCTTCTGTTTCCATGTCAATATCCAGCGCATATTGACTGCTTGCTCTTTCGATGGCCTTTGCCCCTCAGGAATCGTCTCGAAGGCCTGTGCCGCCACAAAGTTCTTGACCTCGACCAGTTTGGCAGATCGGAAGAGCGCTCGCTCTTCCTCTGTCAAGCGCTTCTCACTGATCTCGACGGCTCGCTTTTTCATGCTGTTCATGAAGTAGGTGGGTAGGTCTCGGCAGGCCTTGTCCAAGCCCTGCTTGCTCTCGGGTAGCGCCACTTCCACCTCGATGGCCGCCTGTCGATCTTTCCAGTAGACTGCGTCGTCGCTCCACAAAGCCTCCTGTACCTCAGACCACCACTGACCACCAGATGAATTGCTCGTCCTGGCGTAGGGTGATGGTCTTGATGCCGTAGCTCGTCGGCCCTCTCCATTTGGAGGGTCCTGAGCATTCTCGTCTCCGTGAGTGTCTCGAGCGCGTCCCTATTTAGTGGCGCGCACCACTTCATCCTGAGATCGCTTCTGTCCAATGCGGCGCCTGGTAGGTTGCACTTCCTGCTCCACGTCCTGAGCTCGTGTCCACTCGTGTTCAGGAACCGCCTCAGTGATGTCTTGATACTTGCTTCCACCGATCTGTTGAGCGACCCGTGTGTAGGTCCAGGGCACCGGATCTTTGCGATTAGCCCAGGTAGCACGCGAGAACGTAGCCACCGGCGGGGACATAGATAGCCACGATGTCATAGGAGCCCGACTGGACCATGGTGAGGTATTTGGCCCTCGCCTTGGATGTAGCCAAGTCGGTCGGAGGGTTTCTAGCCAGATCCACGCAGGAGATATCCACATCGAAGCCGAAAGTGGATGCTAGCCGTCGGAGATGCCACTGAAAGCTCCCCTGCCTCTCCCGACCCGAGAAGAGGTTCAGAGACTCGATCAACTCCCTTCGTACCTGTTCAGCAGCGCACTTCAGTAGGCTACGGCCGCGTACCAGCCATGCCGAGGAACTCGGCATGAGGTGTCCCTGGTCGTCTCGATTCGTCTCCGTAGCCAGCACGCGTGCTGGGCCCAGAAACTGCCCGTGACGATCTTCTGGCTCGCGGGTGACTGTCCGCTCACCTGTGACCGCCAGAAGAACACCAGTTCGCCCGGCACGTCGTCCAGCACCCGCCTTCCGCGCGAATGCGCGGCTCTGGACAGGCGTTGCTTGGCCTGCCACTCTTTTAGGGCTTGCTCTGCAGTCCTCTGTCGCTCTATGGACCTGACGAACTCGCCGGTTGGGTTCTCCACTAGCAGCTCCGGTGGCATCGCCTTTGTGGAGAAAGATGTCTAGCGGGCGTGCTGCGTCGGGGTGAAGCCCCGAATGATCTCCCTCTGATTGAAGGTACGTACTGCGATGGCCAGGCTCATCCTCTAAGAGCTTGCTGATCAGTTCCTTTGTCCCTTTTACAGCCTGTTCCACGACGCTCACTTTCCAGTCAGCCTCCCCTGGAATCACATCCAGGTAAATCTGGTGTCTCTCGCAGAATTCCTCGACGGCGGCTTCTCGGAAGGCGCTGCTGGGTCGCGACGGAGCGTCCGCGGTGCTCCGAAGTAAGCTATCCAGCCATCCCTCAGGTACTCTAGACATGCTGCGCCTGTGGGCTGTTGCTTTGAGCCCACTGTTAGGACTCTCGCCGCTTTGAATCGTGATCCCTCATCCACTATCGTCATGAACTGCACATGTTCTTTCTTGTGGGCGTTGTAATAGTGCCCACTGTCGGCACTTACGCAGTGCCACTTCGGAGGTAAAGGCTCCAAAGAGGCCAAGTGTCTTGGTTGAACCCTTCGCTTCTCTTCACACACTGAACACCTGAACTCCTTCGCCAAAGACAACACCTCCAAATGCACACCCCTGCGTCGTAATGCTTCCACAAGGTGTTTGGTGCTTCCATGTCCCGTTGCCGCATGTAACAAGTACAGCTGCTTCTTCACTCTTTCGCGTTCCTGTTTGGTGAGGGGTTGTTCACTCGCGGCCATCACATGTTCTCGGGTCCTACTCCTACTTTGGGCTTTTGGGGGAACCCTGAACTTCAGTTCCCGAAGCTCATCCCTGCATGCTTCATCCATCCTACGGTGACTTCGACTCACGTAACACGACATCACGTGGCTTGACCCTTGCCACACTTCCGTTCCGTGCCAGCTTGGGCGGAAACTGCACCGTCTGGTGCATCGTCTTGTGGAGCTGTCCCACGCGCTCGGTTCCGTCGGGCAGCACCTTTGCGGTTGGGTTACTGATTGGTACCTCTTCGGGGCTCTCTATCCACGGTTCTCCTCCTTGGTACCGGCTAACCACTATCACGCAGTTGGTGTGCCGGGGGTCATTGTGACAGTCTCTGTGAAGAGGCATGTGCATGTTACGGCTCACCACGTAAGACGTGTACATTTGTCCGCTAAGCAACTGTCCCTGCAAGTACCACAACCCTGGCTCAAGTCCTCCTCAGCTTCACGCCTTTTTCCTCGCAAACACAAACCACAAGGTATCCCAACCTCCCTATCGTGAGAAAGTTCACAAATGCAGTGGAGGCCGTTCCCGAACGCCTCGGGCAACTCTGTCTTCCCTTGCAACTCGCTCAACACTCCTATGTATAGTTGTGCTCCTGCAACACCATCTGCGCGACTCGATCTGCAAATTCCGAAGTGTAAGTGTCCTCTGAAAGACCCTCAACACCCTCGTCCTTAGAGTGCACGTACGCCTTAGCGCAAGTGCAAGGTGCTTGTAACACCTCTGAAAGTCGGCCATGCGTCGTGCAGACTTTCCAACCACGCCTGGACAGCTTGTTGTCTCTTCCTCGTTTGTTCATGCGACAGCCCTTAGTCACACACACACACACACCCACCCCCACCCACCCACCCACCCACCCACCCACCCACGCACGCACGCACGCACGCACGCACGCACGCACGCACGGCACGGCACGCACGCACGCACGCACGCACGCACGCACGCACGCACGCACGCACGCACGCGCGCGCACGCGCGCACGCACGCACGCACGCACGCACGCACGCGCGCACGCACGCACGCACCCACACACACACACACACACACAGACACACAGACACACAGACACACAGACACACAGACACACAGACACACAGACACACACACAGACACACAGACACACACAGACACACACAGACACACACACACACACACACACACACACTTTCAGCGAATGCTTCTGGATCAGCTCCTGCACAACTGGTAACCTCCAAGCGTTGTTCTGGTCGGGCATCTGTACAGAAACATGTATTCCTAGTTGAATGCACGCTCGCACTACGACACCACAGCCGACTAGATACTTCCTGGTTTTCTGTCGTTCAACACTTAGCTTGGGGTCTGGGGCCTCACCTTTGCTTCTAGTGTTTTGCCAGTTACAGAACGGTTTACTGGGAGGTCGGATCCACACATGCAACGGTCGCAACACTTCCATCTTTTCAAGTGTCTGCTTGATCCCCTCGGTCGTGCTCAGATCGTGACCGTTCCAGTCTGCGCACCTTACAGCTGCGCTGTCCCGACCGGCCCGTTCCTGCACTCGTTGTGTCAGCTTGCTCTCCGGCAGGCTGTTGATCTCCAAAACATATGGCCGACGCTGAGAAACAAGGTCCTGAAACATCTGAGGCACTAAGCTCCAAGCCTGATGCTCCACTAAGGCCGCTGACTCTTTGCTTAGAACCACACTATCGTCCTCAGCATCAGCCGTTCCGATCCCGGTCGGACTCATATCTAAGCTCACGGCTCCGATGTGCTTCACTTTGGGTTCTGCTTGCTGGGTTCCCCACCATCTGCTAGGAGTTGGCCGCCGACTCGGTCTCGCTGTTCGATGCTCCTTGCGAGGTAGTTCCTGGACTTCCTGCTGGAGTCCCTGGACTGTGGTCATCATGGCCTGCAAGAGCTCGTGGGTCATGTCCGTAGATGCTCGTGCCGCACTCGCCGGAGGACTTGGAGGCGCTCGTGCCTTCGCCTTCGGCTTATTCACTGGAATCATCTCGGTCTCCTTGGCCTCCTGCCGCTCCAGCCAATTGGCCAATCGTCGTAGTCGGTAGTCCGTCTCGTCGGTGTTCTGGGCCGTCTTCTTGACCCAGGCGGCATAGTTGTGGCGCTGCTGGTAGATGTCCATGTAGGTCTCCGTGCTGTGCTTCCCGAAGCCCACAACATCCTCGCCGGCAGGCTCCGAAATGTCGTACAAGCGGCGCAAAGCGGCCTGCTCGAGGGTGTACATCGTGTGATTGCAGCTGGTCACGACCCCGATCTGTTGGCAGTAAGCCTCGCCGGCTGACGGGTCCAACTCCAGGATTCGCATCGCGATCTCCTTCTTGGTCCACTTGGTAGGCGTCTGCTCGCCCAACTCCTCCAACTTCTCCTTGAGCTGCTCCTTGCGCAACTTCATCAGGGCCATGTTGGTGTGGAGGCGGTGGAGTCCTAGAGGGGATTCCGCGGTGATGGCTCCTGTCGTCACTTGAGACCTCGTCGTCTGTGGTTGTTGAGCGTCCCTTGTCTCATCTACCTTATCATCACCATCATCACCATCAACACTAAACCTAGCGTGTTTCACTCGACACTGATCAGAATTGCTTCTCGGATAAATGCTTTGGCATTGCTCTGCAACGCCCCCCGTGCCTGAAACTACTCTGTCCACTTCTTTCCTGCCAGGCATACAGTCAGAAGCCAGTTGTCCCTACTCCGAAGCTTGCTGTGCAAGAGCCTTCAGGCTCCGGACGGGCTGCTTGGTGGATAGGGCCTTCTCATACAAGTTGCCGGTCAGTGTGGCTGCAATTGGTGTCCCATGCTGGACCTCTCCAAGCTCAGCACCTGTTGCGCATCAATGGCTCTGAAGTAAACCATGTCATGCTGAAAATCTATGATTGCTCCCAGCGCCCGCAAGGTTGCCACTGACAGCAAGATCGGCGTGTCGCCCTTGTCGAGCGCATGCACAACCAGTCGGCCTTCTCGGGGTCCCGCTGTAATGCCCCGAAACCGAAGGTTGGCCGATTGTCCAGGCTGACGGAGTGGATGCGCGGGTTGCCGTACTTCTTGGCATTGATGTCCATAACCTTCTGGATAGCTGCTACACTTCCCAAGGTCCTCGTGGCTCCGCCGTCGATTACGGCGAAGCCTTCAGTCGCTGCTTCGCGAGTGCTCTTGGCGCCCATCGCGCCGGTGGCACTGGCGCTCAGCGCCTGGTCCGCGTAGCAGATGAAGGGAGCCGACTGTGTCGGTCCACTGCTGCTCCCCGGCGTCTCCTTAGGTCCGTCTCGGCAGTTGGCTGCCCCAATGACCCTTTTTCCCGCACTTCATGCAGATCATATGCTCGTCGTTCGGTGTGTAGCCCTTTTCCACCTTTGCCTTGATGATACTTCCTCGACAACTTCACTGCAGATTGTTTTGCACGAGCCTCTCGTAAGGTTCGTCATTCTGGTAGGTAGCCCACGCTTGGTGGAGTTCCGCCTCGGACTCCGCCCACAAGATCTGGCCCTCCTCGTCGAGCTCTTCCACGCTGAAGCCCTCACCGTCTCGTCTTCCTCCTCTGGGCCCTCGCCCAGATAGCTGGAGTGGCGGCTTGAGGCGTCGCCACGGCAGTTCTCGATGTCCGGGAACTGCTCCTGCGCTACCTTCTGCGCCGTGAAATTGTTCTGAATCGCTGTGAGGATGAGGTTCTTTTTCGAGCTGCTCAGCCCTGCGTCCTGGAGCAGGTACCAAGCCTGAACGAACTCTTGCAGGAGTTCTGGCTAAGGCTCCGGCTTCACCGCCGCGTTCTTCTGTTGCCAGCTCGTAGCCGGTCTGCCAGCTTCCTCCCCATGACCAGTAGTTCTGCTGCCACCAATACGATGGAGCCCAGTTCCATCCTGCATCTCTCAGGCCTCGCTGGCCTGCGAGGCTGCAGTAGTGCCGCTTGGGTCGGTGTTCGTGGTGGCGCCTTGTGCGTAGTCGGATGCTTCCGGCTCTGTTTCTTCATGCCCCGTTGAGTCCCAGCTGCTCCGGCGACTCATGTTGGGCCAGCTTCCATAGCCGCCCCGTTGCCCTCCATCAGGGGCCGCATGTCCTCCTCCGGTTCTGCTAGCCTCCTTGGCGACCGTCTGGTGATGCGGCGACACTCTCTTCATCGCCTGGCAGGCCCTCAGATACACCTCACACTTTCGTGAGATGTATACTCGTTCATCGACTCCTGTTGACGGCATCGACCCTGACGAAAGTATCGGTTCAGGTGCTCCGTCAACTCCGGTATCTGAGGACGTCCAAGACACACCCGAAGGTGCTGCAGTAGCGTCTCCACACCTTGGTCATGCGACAGCCACGTCGGCGGCTGTCCAGCCACCCATCTCTTGGCTGCACCGGTCAACTCACCCAGCAACCTGGGCCCCAGAAGGCATCTTTTGTGGTACGGGGTGCTTTGCTCGAAGATCATGCACTGCTCAGAGAACTCTTCAAAACTGGCGTCTGCTCCATCCCACGTGGGCACGCCTTCCTTGCTCCGGCCACTCGAAGTGATCGCTGCCATCTCTTGGATTCTTTTCCCGGCCTCCGCAGGGAAAGATTGTCGTAAGGTCCCTGGTCTCCTGAGCCAAGCCCTCACAGGTCCGTGAGGA